CGTGCGGTATGCGTTTGTACCATGCATTTTGAATGGCTGCATCTGTATATGTTCGTTGAAAAATAACACCCAAAGCGGCCAGATTAATATTTTAGGCGTTAGTGTGTCTGTATTAACCTCTCTCTCAGCGCAGTCCTGTTGTGTCCAGTCAATCGGCATGTCTGTTTTAAATTCTCTCTCAATGCAGTATAAATGTACTGTAGTGTCCAGTCAGTGTAGTGTGTCTGTATTAACCCCTCTCTCTCTCAGTGCAGTGTTAATGTACTTGAGTGTCAAGTCAGTGTGTCTGTATTAACCTCTCTCTCAGTGCAGTGTTAATGTACTGGAGTGTCCAGTGAGTGTGTCTGTATTAACCCCCCTCTCTCAGAGCAGTGGTAATTTTGTCACGACAGTGTCCTTCAGCTTGCGGTTGACATGGGAAAGTGTCAGATTGTCACAAGGGTTAATGTTTTTTTGCTGATCCTTTTTGTGATCTGTGTTAATTACCTTATTATGCATTCCCACTTTCCAATTTAGAACCGAGGCGCTGCTTTGACAGCATTTTGTCATTTTGTCACTTGAACCCAGGTTTTCACTGGCACTACTGTTTGCACTCTCCACATTTCACTTCTGAGCCAGACTGCACTTCTCCCTGCACAGAAGTTGCAGCCTCAAACCTGCCCTGTCCCCTTGTCTAGGAGGCTCGTTATTCAGTTTCTCTGTCCTTGAGGCAGCCTGTTTTTACTTCAAGCTTCATTCTGAAGATGCTCTGTGCAACAGTCCCAGTGCCCTCCAGCTGGTCTTCACTCTGCGCAGCAGTCCCAGCCAGGCTTCGCTCTGCCACCAGGGTCCACCAGCCGACCTTCACTCTGTGCAGCAGTCCCAGCCAGCCTTTGCTCTGAGCTGCAGTTCCAGCAGTTTCGAGCCGGCCTTATCTCTGCATAGCAGAGTTCCAGCCAGCCTTTGCACTGCCCAGCAGTCCCTAGCGGCTTCCAGCCAGCCTTCGCTCTGCACAGGAGTCCCTGCAGCCTCCAGCTGGCATTCACTATGCTCAGCAGTCCCAGCCAGGCTTCGCTCTGCGCAGCAGTCCCAGGGTCCACCAGCAGACCTTCACTCTATGCAGCAGTCCCAGTGGCCTCCAGCCTGCTTTTGCCCTGCACTGCAGGCCTAGGGTCCTCCAGCCCGCCTTCGCTCTGTGCAATGGTCCAGGGTCCTCAAGCCAGCCTTTACTCTGCACAGCAGTCCCAGGGTCCTCCAGCTGGCCTTCACTCTGTGCTGCAGTCCCAGGGGCGGAGCGGTGGCCCTGTGGCTAAGGATCTGCGCCTGTGACTGCAAGGTTGCCGGTTCAAATCCCGCAGCCGGCAGAGGAATCCTACTCCGTTGGGCCCCTGAGCAAGGCCCTTAACCCTAACTGCTCCAGGGGCGCCGTACAATGGCAGACTGACCCCAAGCTTCTCTCCCTGTCTGTGTGTCTGTGTCTCTATGGA